CTTTCTCCTTATGAAAGACTGCAGACAGAAAAGTTACCTAGTTTTTGATGAAAGCCTGAATTTCATGCTAAGTGCTGAATTTCTCAGCTCCCTCCCACAGATTTCATTGTAAATTGCCAGGAAGAAAATAACTACAAAAAGCAGGTTACCACAGGAGACCTGACAACCACCAACACTTGGTCATGTTCCTATTCCATAAATGTTTCTCAGCTGTTTCCAGACCCCAATGACATTACTGTTAGACTACTTATTAACTTCCAAAGGTTTTGAAGCACCTTAAAGTATCTCCTTTACCCCTGAAAGCAATTTGCCAGAAGACTTCACACCTTCCCTAGAACTTAGAAACTGGAATGAATAACTGCAAAGGATGACAAATTGTTCAAACCAAAGGAAACTCCCAAGAAGGAGATACAAAGCTGGCTAAAAATTAAAAAAAAATAAATTTCCATTATATCCAAGCAGGAGATTCTGCTGAGCTGTATCCAACCACAATTATCGATACACATGTTCAGACTAGCACCTCAGAAATGGATGCAACCTCCCTTACTCCCCCCAAAAGGAACAGACCAAAGATGTGCCAACATTAGTAAGACTTTCAAACCAAAGCAAACAAGTTGCTTGAAGATTTCTCAACTGCCCTTTAGGAACAAGTGCCCTGCTTTCACCTTTCTGAAACCATGGCATGACAACTCCCTTCCCAGGGGCAATCAGGGTCTGAGACTAAACCAACACAGTTTCAGACAATTTTTTTTTTTTAAAGAATTCAGAAATAGTCACACTCCTGTAAGACACATTTCAGACTGTACATCAAAAAGCAGTCAGCTGATGTAATTAAACATTTTTAGATGGTTATCTCTGAATCTTTTATCCTCCTCAGCAGAAAAGGAAAATACAAGTTACAACACATGAAAATAGCTTGTTGCAACCACATATTCTGAGTTCAGCAATAAATATCATCAGAGCTACTGGCTAGTACACATGCTGAGGAAGAGCTACTCTCCCAGGGAACTGTTACCTATATTGCTTTAGAAGCCAGATCCTGCTACCTGCACACAGAGCTCCTACCCTACCGGGCAAAGATGCTGCTCACAGCTGGCTACACACCGAGCAGAAACTACAGCCTGCCTTATCTGACAGCTTGTAAAATGCAGACTGGGAGAGTTACAACATTTTATAGTATTTTATAACCATAGAGAGGCTCAGTCAGGAGTCAAACCACTAATTTATTACATACCTGAGGTCAAAAGTTAGGTTTTTAGAACATACGGAAAGAATTGCAACAAGCTAGAGGAAGTCAAAAATCATTTCCCAGACAGGAAGAAAATCCAAATCATCTGTCTTCTGATGACAGGAGAGAGCGTGAGAGGGGCTGGGAGGAGGACAGATCCCAGGTGGAGCTGCTGGGGTTTTTCTGACATTCCTCCATAAGGGCAAAGTAGCAGCCGTTATCACAAAAAGGCCTGGGTTTAGCCAGCTCCTGCTGATGTCACTTCATGCACACCGAGGGCCGTTAAACCAACTAGCGCAAGATAATATTTGTCAGTGGGCAGCTTATCTTCCACTCAATAGGCTTTAGATAGTCTCCTCTGGCAGGCTCCAGATGATGGCTCTGGGAGGTTATCAGCACACCTTGCGTCAGCAGCCTTCAGGGTTGTGCGATGGTGACTTTGATTTTGCAAGTGCCCTGGCCCTGCTGGCCCCAGCAGCACCCACTGGGGTGGGGTCAGCACGAGGGCTCCTCGCCCATGGGCTGTGCTGAGTGAGGTGCTGTCACTGCAGGAGGGTTAACCTGGGGAACAATTGGTGCAAAGGGAGCTGGGCTGCAGTCACAGAAGGAGAAAGGCTGGATGTGATCACTCTGTGAAGCCTGCAAGTGTCAGGGATTGTTTGGGCCAAGCAGCCGTATCAGGGACTCGCTGCCTTTGCTGGGGACTGGGCTTGGGGAGAGGGTGAGGAGAACTGAGGACCAGCTGATCTTCCCATATCTTGATTGATTAATGTACGAAGAGGTTTTTACCGTAGTTTGGAAGCAACACGGTCCAAATCGCTGCCTCCAGTCGACGGCACCTTGTCAATTTAACTTTTAATAAGAGAGGGGAGGTTAAATGGAGCCTGGGACAACCCCCTCCACACTAAGGATTTCTTACTGACACGCACAATCCTACCTCAGCCCAGTAGGCTCAAGGCAGGGTCAAACCCAGGAATGTGAAAGTCCCTGATGGAAGGGGCAAGGACCTCTCATCCCACCAGGAAATGTGCCTGGTTTTATGAGCAGACCTGGCCTTGCTGCCTCCTCCTCCTTTCCCCGGGCAGCACAGCCACAGCCAGGACACAGACAGATGCACAGTACCTCAGCACTCCTCACTCAAGGATGTCCTAGGGAAGTGACAGTCAGTCACTGTCACACCAGAGAAGGCAGCAGGTGGGCAGAAGCAGCCCAAGTCCCACACTGTCCCACAGCCCACCCTGCCCACTTGCAGGAATTTTGTCCAGAGTTTAACCTAGAGCCAGGAAACCTTTGACCTAGAGCCAGGAATCCTCTCCAGACAGAACATCAGGCCTCCAGAGCCAGAGGCCATGATGAAAGCCCACCAAAAGGCTTCCAGAGGGAGGTGTGTTATACCATGCAATGATCCCACCTGAACAAACCTCTGGATTTTCCTGGTCAAGGTCATGCCTTGCGTGATGAAAAATGCTGTTTCCTAAGGGGTTACTAAATCTCAGTTGTGTCACACTGTACGCAAACCTGGCAGATATGAAGTCTCTTTCTTTCTCCTTGCCTGCTGAAGTGCCCTGGTTGGCCACTGTAAGGCATCCGGGACAGAGCACAGGCTTCAGCTCAAGGCCAGAAATGTGGCCTTGTCTTGCGTTCACATGGTAATGTCTCCACTGGCTGGAGGATAGGCAGGGAGATGGAAGGGAAAGGCTGGTGTGAATCTCCCTGCTCCCCAGACACCATACGACATGGGGCGAGTTTGCTCTACCCAGCACCATACACATATATACAAAGCTCTCCCACCTCGTCATCCCAGTTCCCACCATGGCCAAATATATACTATCCAAAAAGCACACCAGGAGTCCACACACGATCTTCATAATCTTTTTTCCTTTTCTTTTTTAATGTACCTGCAAATACGGACACATTTGTGAGCTGGTCACACTTGCCATTTGCCAACCCTGCTGAGAGTGATATGCTTTGCACATAAAGTAGGTCACCTTGACATAGTCACAGAGTGAGGACCGGAGCTCGAGGAATAGCAGAGCTCACAAAATGAGAGACAGAAACACAACACAAAATTCTGCCAGGAAAGACTGGAAACAGCTTCCCAAGCCATGCTTGTGTGAGCTCCACTGCTTCTGCAGCATGTAAGGCTACAAACACATTAGTCATGACACTTGATACTAGCTGGAGATCCAGACACCAGGTGGATCAAGGGGGAGAGGAGCACACATTACCGTGCTCTTTTCGCAAAGCACCAGCACAGACGTGCTTTGCAAACTGTATTGGTAGAGCTGTTTGGAACACAGTTTGCTGAAGAAAAGCCAGAGAGCGCTTCGGAAAAGACACAGTGGCACATTGTGTGGTAATTCAGGCAGTCACCACTGCCCGCAAGGACCAGCAAAGCAGTGGCTGCTCTCACACTGCAGAAGCTCTGCAGGAACCTCAGAGCTCAGCAGAGAGCAGTCATCCTGCCACCAAGGTCCTGGAACACATGCATCTAAAAAAATGCATTTGGTGAAGCGAAATGGGTGTAGGGAGGTCAGCAGACTAATGTGGCTAGGTTGATTTCCTGGCCAAACCATTCATTCAGACAGAAGAAAATATGGTTTCCAAATCACCCCTAAGCAAACCTCCAAGAAACTTCTGGCAACAGGACTGTGACAGATACTCAGCCAAATTGGGCAGCTTTAACATTCAGAGCTTTTGCACTGCCAGAGGAACAAAATATTTGATCTTGTTGATCAAATGAACAGATGTCTATAAAAGCACAGTTTTTTTACTTGAAAAATGGAAGATTCCAGTTCTGTGCAACCCTGGGTGAAAGAAAAATGTAAAATCCCATAGACTCATTCTAGAGGCACAGTTGTATTCCCATTTGAGTCAGTAGAAATTACTGCTGGAACGTAACTACAAGGCATTTTATTTTTACCTCCCGGTTCCCCAGAGCATGCATGGGAAGGGAGGACTGTCTGATCAGGCTCATGCAGCACTGGACT